TACTTGGACTGGACTTACCCATGAGCTATCAGAAATAGGATAAATAATTCCAGCGTCAAGTAATTTTATTACCTCAGCTTTCACTACCTCTTGCATGTGTGGATTTAAACGCCTTTGTGGTTGAATGCTCGGTTTGTAGCTTTCCTCCATGAGTATTTTGTGCATGCAAATTGAGGGACTAATTCCTTTTATGTCGGTTATTGTCCACCCAAATGCTCCTTTGTGCTCCCTTAAAACTCGAAGAAGTTTTTCCTCCATTAAACCTGTCAAAGAAGAAAAAATAATTACAGGCAAAGAAAGATCTTCATCTAAATAAGCATATTTTAAATGAGCAGGTAAAGGCTTGAGTTCAAGTTTTGGAGGTTCTTCTAGTGATGGTTTTAGCCGAGGCATATTAGCTCTAAAATCTTGAATAGTTGGCTCCTTTGAGTTCAAGAACGGTGGGCAAGCTTCCAAATGAAATGCATACTCCCTAATGTCCTCATTTTCAGCAGTAATGTCTTTGGAATGAACAACACATGCCTCCAACAGATCTGGACAATCTTTCTGCAACATCTCATTAATTGTTTCATCAATTGTTTCCATCATAAAACAAGAGTCAATATCAGATGGGTATTTCATGGCATCAAAGACATTAAAAGTAACTTGTTCATTTTCTACCCTAAGCATCAATTTTCCTTGCTGCACATCAATTAAAGTTCTACCAGTGGCTAGAAAAAGTCGGCCTAAGATAAGAGGTACCTCATGGTCTTCTTCCATGTCCAAAACTATAAAATCAGCAAGAAAGATAAATTTATCTACTTTTACCAGGACATATTCAATAATACCCCGTGGATGTTTGATAGATCTATCTGCCAATTGAAGAGATACTGTTGTTGCTTTTGCCTCACCAAGCCCAAGTTTCCTGAAAATAGAAAATGGCATCAGATTAATGCTGGCTCCCAAATCACACAAAACTTTATCAAAATGACAATTTCCAATTGTGCAAGGAATTGTAAAACTCCCTGGATCCTTTAGCTTTGGGGGAAGCTTATTCTGAAGAATTGCAGAACATTCTTCAGTGAGTTTCACAGTCTCATACTCTTCCAATTTCCTCTTGTTAGATAAGATCTCCTTTAGGAATTTAGCATAGCTAGGCATTTGAGCTAAAGCATCTGCAAAAGGTATGTTAATGTGCAATTTCTTAAAAATATCTAGAAACTTAGCAAACTGCTTATCTAGCTTTTGTTGCTTCAATCTATGTGGAAAAGGAATTGGAGGCACATAAGGCTTGACTTCTTCAGATTTTTTCTCTTCCGTTGGAGCTTTCTCTTTTTCACCCTCATTGTTTGAGCTTTCTTCATCTCCAATTTGCTTCCCACTTCTCAATGTTACAGCTTTCACTTGTTCCTTATGATTTTTTTCAGTACTGCTTGGTAATGCTCCTTGTGCTCTTCCAGAAACTACATTTGCCAATTGACCTACCTGAACCTCTAAATTCCGAATTGATGCACCTTGGTTCTGGACTGCAGCTTCCAAGCTCTTGGTTGCTGTTTCTTGACTTTGAAACCTTGACTCATTAACCGCAATGTATTTTTT